GATATAAAATAAAAGGTGAAGATAGGGTTGGATATACGTACGGCAGTTTATCATATTTGGCTTTTACTTTAGCTAAATTTGTACGCTAAAGAAGTAGAAAATTTGAACTAAATGGTTATAGTCAGTCAGGGAACAAAATTCGTTTCCCCACCAAGGTGGGGGTTTTACCAGTCAATATGCCCCCAGTAGAGTGGAGGTTTCTTAAGATTTGTAACGATGTCAAATCAAATTCCCACTTTGGCCTGGGGTTGGGGGGGGGGTCGGGGTTTGAATTGATAAGTGCATTATTCTCATAAGTTGGTTTCGCGTATTCAAATCCATTTGCTCAACATCGTTGTCCAAAAACGCATCAGATTCCTCGATGAGTTTCATGACGACTCCTTAATTTGCCACGCGCTTCACTCGTTATTGTGGAAGGGCATCATCCGTCATCTTAAATTGGTCGAGATTTACTGCCCCACGTTGAGTGCCATTTTATTAACACGTAACTACAGTCGTAAATTTTTGTGTATTCGTTTATTGATTTACCGAAAAAACCTCTCACTCAAATAACATGTGTTGTAATTTGATCATAATATAAGACCGGAAAATCAAGATGAAATCATATACGAGTTGTACAAACAAAACAGAACTCGTGAATAAATGTTACATAACAATCATGAAGCATGACTGTTCGTGACATGTGCATAAAATGTGTCACATACAATGATAGTGTTCCTTTATTTGTATCGCCATGTCATCCTAATTTACCAACTTATACCAAGATTTATAAAGTCAAATAGGGGAAGTGGAAATTAGCGCTGGATTACAAGCGGATTGCAGTTCATCTTATTTCAATCGGATTCAATTCGATTATTGATTCTATCTTCTATAACTGTTATTGCAGTGGATAGATTAGAGTTAGAAGCACATTTCCGTCTGCTGGATACACACCGGCAATATGAGAGCGCATGCTACACTTATTTGTTAGGCAACCCTAAAAGCTGGAAAGGTGGAATGGTGGAATGGCAGAAAATGACCCCAAATCCTAAACCACGGAATGGCAGAAAATGACCCAAATCCTTAAACACAGAACGGCCGAAAATGACCCCAAATCCAAAAACACGGGACGGCTGAAAATGACCCCAAATCCTAAAACACGGAACAGCGGAAAATAACCCCAAATTCTAAAACACAGAACGGCGGAAAATGACCCCAAATTCTAAAACACGGAACGGATGTCAGGGCATGTTGCACGAATTTTGTACAGAGACACTCAAGCGTTTGGCTCATTCATCCCCACGACGACAACGCGTGTGACTAAAAGACAAAGAATTACGCTTCCCTCTCAGGGAGGGCGGTTTAATATGGCATTCCATTTCCGCCAAAATTCAATGTTTTATTTTACTTCGTACTTTCCACAATATTTTTTACATTTTGCGTTTGTCATTGGAGTTTGCACTGTCGATTCAACTTTTTTGCATTCAACATTCAACTTTTGTTTATGTAACATTTAAGTTATTGCTTTTGACATTCAACTTTTTAGAGGCAACAGTGTAGTTTTCGAATTCGACCCTTAAGTTCAGTGGAATCCACATTCATGTTTTCGCATCCAACATTTAGCATTTGTCCTTTAAGTTTTGGCTTCCAACCTCCAACTTTAAGTATTGTTCTTGCAAGTTTTTGCGTTCGATATTCAACTTTTTTGAATTGGACTTTTACCCGCTGGTCAGTGACTGAAGGAGATCGTGGGTGCGATCGCCCTGAGCCACCCCTGCTCAAAAGGTGGACGATAGGGACGAGAGAATTCCCAGTTGAGTGGACTCAAGAAACCTTTATCCACTCCCCACCAGATCAGACTTCGCCAACAGGTCGAAGATGGCCGAGTTCTTTAGTAGGGCGCTTGTGACTTGTTTGCATCTCTTCAGCTAATTTAGCTTACATTTAACCGAAATTGTATTATCATTCACAAGTGCTGTTAAACTTTGAATCAATTTGTGTCATCTTGAAAAATTTGATCCAGCAAATGTCTGATGACGAGGTGTATTTGAATTCAGCTGTCTTGGATATAATCAGTGCTATAGACAGATTTCGGGGATCTGAAGATCCTTGTTTAGATTTCCAACCAATAGTTTTCAAGTTGGATTTTCTGCAAAGAGTAGTCTTGATGTTGATAAACTAGTCTCAGAATTGATTGGACATGCTTACAGGATGTTGGTGGAAATCGATCAGAGAAACCATATTAACTGTGCATATCAAGCTCCACTGCATAATAGAGGGACACGAGGTAGACCTTCCTACGAAATCAGTGAGGAACAGCGTAATTTTTTACTTCAGCAAGGGTTTAAAGTATGTGACATTAATAAAATTCTTGGGTGAGTCAGGATGGTTGAGAGGAGAATGTCAACATTTGGGTTGAGTGTATCAGGTAAATAGTAACATGGATTTTTTATTTTAATGAGAAAATGAACCACTAGAAGGACAATTTTGTATAACTAAAATAATGATAATAATTAGTCCTGGATTGATGCTATAACAAAGCATTGTTTGATCCTGCAAATACTTATAATGTATTGCCCACCGGTAGTTACAAAAAATTTTTATTTCACTTTCTGGGAATACCTTAAGGTAGTTGTTGCACCAAACAGTTGTGATTAGATTTGCAAATTAAAATTTTCTCCTCCACTGAACTGGGAATTCCGGGGTGGCTCAGGGCGAGTGTGCCAACGATCTCCTTCAGTCACTGACCAGCGGGTAAAAGTCCAATTCGAAAAAGTTGAATATCGAATGCGAAAACTTTCAAGTACAATGCTCAAAGTTGGAGGTCGGAAGCCAAAACGTAAAGGACAAATGCTAAATGTTGGATGGGAAAACATGAATGTGGATTCCACTGAACTTAAGGGTCGAATTCGAAAACTACACTGTTGCCTCTAAAAAGTTGAATGTCGAAAGCGATAACTTAAATGTTGCATAAACAAAAGTTGAATGTTGAATGCAAAAAAATTGAATGTTGAATGCAAAAAAGTTGAATCGTCAGTGCAAACTCGAATGACCAACGCAAAATGTAAAAAATATTGTGGAAAGTATGATGTAAAATAGAACATTGAGTTTTGGCGGAAATGGAACACCATAGTTTAAACACCATAGCGTTGACGATTTGGAATTTGTTGAGGAACAGAAGAAATCCGCTAAAAGAACTGGTGAAATAGCCTCTTTTATATCCAGAAAGTTTATTTCTTCTGCTGATATGTAAGTCTTAAATTTGATAGTAGGATGGTGGTGTTTTGGACATATGGTGGCAAAGAAATTCTTTAAATTCTTCTTGACAGTCTTCTTCTGCCAACTTTCTTTTGTCTTTTCACGCCATAAGAAATTCCCACATGACCCCCATGCAAACCTTTCTTTCACCTAGTGTTGCTCAAGGCCCAAAACTTATTCGTGGACGAAGAAATTGAAGCACTCGTAACGAGGGCGTGCTCTCACGCTAGTCTAAGTTTGGAGCTGGGGCTGAACGTCATTATATTTTGAGAAGCCTGAAAACATTCCTGTGATGTTCTCACACTTACAAGCATATGAAATATTGTTTCATTAAATTAATGCAGACATGACCAGGAAAGGTAAGTTACAATTGTTTGTTACAATGTGGTATGTTAAGTTAGTTTCCACATGCTGTGCGACTTTTTATGCCGCGACTAAAACTCATGGCAAATTTAGCACAACAAAAGGTAACTAAACAGGTTTGCAACACGAAAACGCAGCTACCTTTCGTGTATTATGGTTCATTATTAGTCATACCACTCAGTAAAAGAAAAAAAATTAATAACACTTAATTTTTAGTCATGCATGTTATTGTCGTGGGGATAAATGAGCCAAGCGCTTGAGTGTCTTCGTACAAAATGCATGCAAAGTGCTCCATGTTAAGTTAATGAAAATAGTGATGATGATGACAATAGTAAGTTCTTGGTATTATATTAAGATATCATAATGATAATTATTGTTATGAAGGCTTATGACATCATATTCTGCCTCTTTGAACCAGTGGTTTATTTTCATTAATTCTCCTATACTGACACTTATACAAGTACACATTGTGGAACAAAACATAGCGGGTCTATGCCATTTTACCTTCTTGCTTGTTGACTGTTTTTCTTTTAGTGGCCTGTTCCTATCTGGACCATTTTGGCACTCCAAAAGGTTATGGCCAAGGATGATGAAGGGAATCCCATCAAATTCCAGATGCACTCCCTTGCTTTTCCTGGGCATCTTTCCAGTAAAAGTGATGCCTGATTGAACTACTTTTTGTCGACTCTGCGTTTTCTGTATTTACTGTTGCATTTGATTAGCCTATTAAAATAATTGATATATTGTTTACATAGTGAACTGGAAAATAAAGTTATGCACCTATCCTTGGCTATCCCTGAGGGCAGACCCTGTACAAGGGAGGGGACCCAACTGAAGTTCTTATTTCCCCACGGCTACACTGGAGGAGAGAATCAAAGTTAAGAAAATGCCCCTCTAAGAGGGATAGCATTCTATAAAAGTGGGAAGCCTTGTTCAAATTTGTTGCACAAATTATGTTGGCCTTTACAAGAGCTTTGCTCACCTATGATGAATTTAAGAAAACAATCCCCAAAAGTCTGATCATGTTGACCAAATCAAATTAATTTCTAACCATAAGGAGATGGTTTAGCCCATGTTAATGTGTAGTGGCCTTTTTTACTTATTAACACAACTTAAAGTGACTTCTTTTCTTACTGAGGGTCCCTGAATTTTCGCCAGTGCAAGGCATTTTGAAACCAAACCTGCCTCCTTTCTCCCACCTCTTGGGTAAATATTTGTTTAAGAGCATGTCCACGAGAAAACCAGGCACAACCTGGCACAAATGCTAAGCATCATGAATTAACAAATGTGTGAAAATTAAAGATCAAAATATTTAATTCCCTGAGAGATATAGGGTCCCCCTGGGAAAACCACTTTTCCTGCATTTTTTGCATAATTATTAGCTAACTTTGCATTGCTGCTGTGACAAACCGAAAAGTCATCCGCAAATTCAATCAACTGGGTTGTGTTCTACATCTATCAGGCTTCAAGAACTTTGAACTGTTTTAACTTTTTCATTTCATTTCTACCCTATATCTCCCTTGAGTATAAAGACGACTTTTTCTGATTTTGACAAAGTCCAAAAATAAGGGTATTTAAAGGCCCAATATCTCCTGTGACCAAAGACTTCTGATCTTCTTTCCTACATGGGTAGTGAAAGCCATCACTGGACTTCCAAAATCAGTAATACAATTTTGGGGCAACTGATTTCATTACCTGTGCTGATGGGAAATTTACATCTAACCCCCGCTTTTTGGTCTGTATCATCAAAATTCTGCAAACCACAGCTTTGTTTTATTACCTTGAAATAGTTTGAAAGTGACAAGAAATTTCTCAGGGTGTTGTTTTAACATGAATGAGGAGAGTCTTGCACTCAACTGGAATCACTCTTTTCAAGAATACAGTTACATTCAATTTTTATCTATTTTATTTTATTTTTTCAAGTCTTGTACCTCTAGCTAGTAGGATCTTAAGGGCCTAGAAAATACTATCAGCTAGAGGTACAGCTTGTATAGTTAGTTGACTTGGATCAATTTTTACCATGGCTTGCCTAACATTTAACTTCTCTACAATCGAAATTAGGCATGGAAGGTGATGGGGAGATGGGGTTTCAGAGGAGATACCTGAGACCTTCTGTGTGGATCTACCACCACTTATTTGATAGCACAGCTCACAAACTATAAGCATCAAATCTGACTGTTTATGGGGAATCAGCTTAGTCCAAAGCACATTTCAAGGTTCACCCTTTGGGAGTGGGCAGTATTGGGCAATAAGTAAAGGGTTACTGGTTGCTGTTCAAATAAGAATGCTTTATACCATTTTAAATGGCAATTTAAATGAAAAACATAATTATTAGGACAGACACAGGCTAGCTTCATTTATTTAATTGTATAAATTCTAAAGTAAAAGTACATTTTATATTTTCAAGAATAACTTGCCTGGAGGTTTTTGCACATTCATACATGCTGTTACATAGCAATGAAAATTAAAATGAAAAATGTAATTTTGGTGAATTAAAATCATATTATCCTCTCACTATACCTATAGCTGGCTTAGTATTTCAAACAATGTTTGGCCTTGTCATTAATACTTCTAATCAAACACAACTATCATGAAAATAGGGACTATCCATTCTGAAAAATTCCACACATACTTAGGCAGAATATTACATGACAAACTTCAGTATATCTGGTTGACATGCTCCAGTCTGAAATGAATTTCAAGTCAAATTAATCTAAAACACAACCAAAGAACATACAGATCAGACTAGTTTAAAATTTGTTTGCCATAAATTCATTTGAAACATAATATTGTCAATGATTTCAAGCTTACTTCACATAAATAGGCAGCACCTCTGGCTGGTAGTATTCTCTAAGTAATCTAAGATCTGAGTAATCCAAGATCCTACTAGTCAGATGAACAAGATTGCAAGGCACAGGAATATACCTATGGACTCAACAGCTGTCTATGACTAACAACATAGAATGTGTAGTAAGGTTATTCATGAGTCAAAAATGGAATGAAATGAGCTGAATTCAACAAACATGTAAGCTCTAGCCTGTAGTATTTTCTACGCCACCCGTGATTAGACGGGCTAGAGGTATACGACCGAGGGACAAGATGTCCTTGAAAAAAGTGATTCCAGTGTAGTGTAAGACTAAGATGGAATACCACAAAGTGAAATGCAAAGCAAGCCGTGATAAAAATTGGGCAAAGTCGACTAAATATGCAAGCTGTACCTCTAGCCGATAGTATTTTCTGGGTCCCGTGAGATCCTACTAGCTAGAGGTACAAGACCGAATAACAAATAAATGCAAATGTATTCTTGAAACAAAAACCATTCAAAGGATTGTAGGACTAATTAAGAGTGCAAAAGAGTAAACTATTAAGCAAACCGTAGTAAAAATTGAGCAAAATCGACTAAAAAATTTAGTCCGTACAGGTCATAACAGGTTCGCGAGTCATTTAGACCTGGGAACGAGCGCCTAGCAGGCAGCACACGTTTCCGACTCGCTCTCTCTGATTTCCAATTATTACCAATTTTTCCAATTTTTTACCATAAAACTTTTTTAAAAAACACATTATCTACATTTTGGGGATCTCGTGGATGGTAAGGATTTACTCCAAAGCGTTTCTGGTGGCTGTTCGATCTTTAACTTTGCTGGAACCTCTCGATGGAGCTCTTTGGCGTTGCCTGGTCGACAATAGGATATCGAACCGTTTGCCGACACGTCGCGGCTGCAGAGCAGGGCGTCGAAAACTGGGACTTGCTGAACATGATTTGGCAAGCCCTAATCTACTCTCTCATCTGCCGCCGTTAAATAATGTCCCTTGCTCTAGTACTGAAGTTGAAGCATCAACTCAGCAAAATCTCCATATTGGAACATTAAATATTCAAAACGACACCTTTGCGTTTCGCTCTACTGGCTCCTTTCATCAAACAATGGGAGATCACGCACGGGATGCGGGACCACAAGCACCCAGTGTAATTCCACCAAAGAAAAACTTTTATGTTCCTAAAATCATGGTTTCAAATACTATGTCTCTGGCTCCGAAGATTGTGGAGGTGGAAGAATTTGTAGCACGGAATAAAGTTAGCCTTGCCTTTATTACCGAAACATGGCTAAAATCTACCGTCATGGACTCTGTCGTTGACATTCCAGGTTATAGCATTATAAGAAAGGATCGGTCATCCGAAGAACATGGTGGCGTGTGCCTTTATATTAAGGACGGATGCTTTAAGTACAAGCAACTTAATGATATCTCATGTTGCGCCGACCACGAAGTTTTGTGGGTACAACTAACACCATCACGTCTTCCAAGAGGTTTCTCGTCAATTGTCGCCGCAGTTGTTTATCATCCTCACTGGACTTTGCCAGAGAACAACTCTATGCGTGATCACTTGTTTCAGTCGTTGGCACTTGTTGAGTCGCTTATAGGATTGTCNAGATAATGTAAATATAGCTTTTAAATATAGATAGGTTTTAGCTCATAGATTTTTTAATTGTTATAATTTTGAATATTCTTGTATACGTTATATAATATATTTATTTAATTACATTATTGTAATATACGCAATTCAGCCGCAAGGCTGCTAGGTATATTTAAATAAACTATCTATCCATCTATCCTTAGTGTTCATAGCAAGGTGAGATGTTTTGCCGCCTATAACCGTAGTTACTAAAAGTTGGAATCACCTGAAACCATCTGAAATCACCGATGAAACCACCCGAAACAATCTGAAACCCCCAAGGAAATCATCTGAAATTACCTGAAAATATCTCGAAACAATTTAAAACAACATGAAAGCACCTAAACAATTACGGGTAACATGAGAAAATAAGTGTTAACAATCGAGTTTATCCCCAGGGAGCCCGGCTTACGGATATCGTATATAATGCCCTACAGTACAGAATAGGCACCAGAAACTGGGCTTTAGGCATTTTTTTTTCTCAAAATCTCAACTATCTAGTCAATTTACCTAGGCAGTGGAAGTTAAAGCCACCATTCATCAGCTATATTCTGTCATTTGCAGTAAAATACCTTGTGAAAAATCCACATATACTTCACTTTTTGCAAAAACAAAGTCAGGGAAATTCTAGGTCACGCTATAAATTCGTCTCTGATTAAAAAGTAACACAATGTTCAAAATTTCCTTAGGAAGTTTGAAAATCTTCAGGCCTTCCTGGGCTTTTTCATACATAATTTGCATGATCCCGTTGAAAAAACTTAACGTATTTCTTTCGATTTAAAACAGTTTCTTCTTTGCATTCGCGATCGCATATTGTTATTGTCACGCGAGTGCTTTGTCAAGAAATGAATTCGCATATTCCCGTGCAACTCCCAGCCATTCGTAGAGCTAATTGAGTGTGTTTTCAACAAGAACAATGGAATGTTTCCTTGAAGACCTGTTTATGGTGCCTATTCTGTACTGTAGGGCACTACACACGATATCCGTAAGCCGGGCTCCCTGTGGATAAACTCGATTATTAACACTTATTTTCTCCTGTTACCCATAATTTTTTAGGTGCTTTCATGTTGTTTTAAATTGTTTCGAGATATTTTCAGGTAATTTCAAATGGTTTCCTTGGGGGTTTCAGATGGTTTCAGGTGGTTTCATGGGTGGTTTCAGATGGTTTCAGATGGTTTCAGGTGGTTTCAGGTGATTCCAACTTTTAGTACTTACGCACCTATAACTGACTGTGATTCAGGTGATCGGCATTGTACGTGAAGTTGTGCATGCCGCATTGTAAAGATCGAATCTTGTGAAGTTTTCCTTTTTTCCCAGTAGTTTGGCTAAATCGCCTGTCAAAACATTGAAGTTTGATAGACCAAAAAAACAACTTTTATCCTGGGTGCTGAAGGGTAGATTAGATAAAGGAATGAAGGGGGTAATTTTCTTAAGAAACTCAGTGTGGTGATACATATGTGGGTGTAAAGAGGTAATTTGGTTTTATCAACTAGATTGATAAGATGTAAATTGGCCACCGTAGAGAGTTTAAAAGCGTTTATAGCCCTTCTATAGCTGTAACGAAGACCTAACACTAAAAAAGTCAGGTTTATAATTCTTTACGGTGGGCAATTTACCTAAGTTAGATAGAGGTTGAGTATCCTGTAAACAACGATCATTATAATGCGGCATGCACGACTTCACGTACAACACCGATCACATGCACAGTCAGTTATAGGTGGCAAAACATCTCACTTTCCATGAATACCAAATGGAATACGCGTTGGAAAAAATTATATATCTATGGAACTCCGACGTCCAGCTTGCCGATAAGCTTGAATACCTAAATGTTTATCTAAGATTCGCAATGAAAAATTTTACTGTATACTGAAATTCAAGCTTTTGGATCATGATTTGAAAAGCAGTAATCGATCCACAAAGTTCCCCTAATGAAATCTAAGGATCTACAACTTGAACCTTCGCGATTGTTTACTCTTTTGGGAATCTCTGAGAACGTCAGGGAATGAGAATGTCAGATAAGAACAAAAGGTTAAAAGATTCTCACCTGGCAATCTTGTAACACAGTATGTTAATAGTTTTTATCCGATTTAATACTGGATAGAGAGGTTGCTATTCTTTTACTGAGGATTTTGGCAAGAGTTTACATAAAGATACTTCAAGTCGCTTCGCAGTCAATTCCGCTGCATCTCTTCGCCTTCGATGGCATTTCGCTCTACGTAAGTGCATGCTCACGGCAAACCCCGCTGAATATTCAAATGTGTCCGTTGTAACTGTCACGTAACTGTGTGTGTGTGTGTGTGTGTGTGTGTGTGTGTGTGTG